CAGGAGGAGGCTTGAAGCCTCTAGCAGAGGCAGGTAGCAGGAAGCTCCCTGTCCTACCCCAGGTAGGGAGCAGTGAAGCACCAGGATCCCTCTCGGGAGGAGGGAATCCGGGGGAGCAACAAGGCCCCCTGCACAGAGGAGCAGGTACCCTAAGGGAAATAGAAACAGGGATAGGTGGAGCCGTCCCTAGGGATCGCTGGCTCCTGGACACCAGTCCGGGAAGTCTCCCCACCCAGGCAGAATATTATTTCTAGAGGAAAAGGGGAGGAAGAAGGACTGCCAGAACTGAGCTGAGGAGCCAGTGGGAGTAGAAGACAGGCTGGCCCAGTGATATCGCTAGGCCTGGGTCCCCACAGTTGGAGGAAACCAACGGCAAGCCTGCAGTGCACCGCAGGCCAACATACCACCAGCACGTGATCGGTTGGCGAGTGGATAGGGTGTAGGGGTGGTGGAGCCCTGTGGAACAACAGAAGCATCAACTGTGAGTACACCTGCACCGGGGAACCCCTCAATTAAAGAACTCCACTGAAACACAAATCAAACATAACAGCAAAGTCTTGGCAGGTGGGATGAAGGGAGGGGCTACCTAGACGACGGGTGATACCGGACTCGAGACGTCCGTCATCACACTGATGTTCTTCCAAAAGGAAGTACTAAAGCACGGCACAGTAACTGCACACAAAGTTAATTTAACCACTACCTCACTGTAGCAATGTGCTAAATGGAGGAATGCACCACTATGGCAAAGTATCTGCCAGTCACATGTAGACTCATGCGATTGCTATATTACTGTAGCCCTCTGTACGGTGACGTAGCGCATCACTACAGCAATTTAAGGTGATGTGTAGATGCGCCCAAAGTGACTTAAAGTGAGAGTAGAAAATTACTAATAAAATTACTACTTATAAGAGCTATCATCTTAGTACAGACTGCACTTTATATACATCAAGTCAAGTATTCCCAAGAGTGTGGCAGGAGCGACGTCAGGGTCGCCGTGATATCCCCTGTCGCCTCCTTTACTGTGCCAAGCTTCTGACTCATACCCTCCTGTTCTCGTCTGCCACGACTTTGACTGTATATGTGTTTTTATAGGGAGGCTACCTTTCTTCTACTTGGCCACAGTTCTCCTGCTTCGGGTGTTCTGTGTATCCAAGCCTTGTGGGCTATGCATGGCTCCTTCCACCCCAACACCACGCCCCAAGCCTTGCAGATGGAAAAGATGATGTTCTGTCTGGGTCTACACCCCCTCTGGCACTCAGACCCTTCTCGGCAATGCAGCCCTCTCTCCGGGGCCTTCTCGG